GGGACACTGAGCCATTGACTGCAACTCTTTGGACCTGGCCCTCCAGACAATTTCTTACTCATCTAACAGCCCATCCACCAAACCCATATCTCTCTGATTTAGTGGCCAGAATCTTGCATGGGACCGTATCAGAGGCCTTATAGAAGTCTAGGTAGATGACATTTGTAGCTCTTCCCTTGTCCACTGATACAGTCACTCCACTGTAGGAGGCCACTAGACTCATCAGGCACAACTTGTCCTTGGTGAAGCCATCTTGGCTGTCTCTAATTACCTCCCTGTCTTCCATATGTTTGTACATCTCCCAGGAGGATCTGCTCCATGATCTTACTGGGCAGAGGTGAGGCTGACTGGTCAGTAGTGACCTGGGTCCTCCTTTCTACCCTTTCTAAAAATGGGCACAATGTTTCTCTTCTTCCAGTCTCTGGAGACTTCACCCGACTGTCGCAACTTCTCCAATATGATGGAGAGTGGCTTGGCAACTACACCAGCCAATTCCCTCAGGATCCTGGACGGAGTTTGCCAGGTCCCATGGACTTATGTGTCTTCCTCAGGTGGTCTCAAACCTGATCTTCCCTTAAAATGGGAGGGACTGGATTGAAGTTCAGGGGCTTGAGGTATGTGGGAAGAGTGATTCCCACTGAAAACCAAAGCAGAAAAATTGTTGAGTACCCCAGCCTTCTCCATGTCAGTTGTCACCAGTTCTCCTGTCTTCTCTATTGGGGGGGGAAGCTGTGTATTTTCTTTCATCTTCTTTTTCTGGCCAATGTACCTGTAGAAGCCCTTCTTATTATTTTTCGCCTCCCTCAGCAATTCATGGAGGTTTTGTGGACTTGGATGGTCCAGAAGAACTTTCTACAAGAACGTCAACATACCCAACACCAGGATGCTTGCAGCCGGAGGTGGGGGCAATGGGACACCATTACCCATAACCAGGCAGCACCAGCAAGACAGAAGAGGGGAGCTCCTGGAGAAACCCAGCTCTCCCATTTGTGGGAGCAGCAGGATATGTCCGCATATGTACAGGCATGCGCACAACGTGCGTGCTGATTTCCGTCTGCGTCTTCTTGCAGGAAGCACATGCAGTCTTCTACGACATACAACATAACTGCTGAAGCACGTCAAAATGTATTGGAAAAAAAAAAAGGGAGAGGGCCAGAAAAGTTCTCCATGACGACAGTTACACCTCTATGAATGCTCCATTTCGAGATGTAACAAGAAACAAACTTGTATGTCTGTAACATAATAAAAAATGTTCATCGTTACTTTTAAACAACCTGATCATCTAGAAAAGTAACTGCTCCGCTCTGCAATGATCAGCGAATTCATCTTCTTGCATCTGCTTCACTGCAGGCAAGCCATCGTAACCAACCAGGCACTTGTTCCCTACGAGCTACGGAGAGCAGGAAGAGAAGTGCTCCTAGGAAATGGGATCTGAGAACCTGAGCTACCGTGAAAAACTTCATCAGCATTAACCACCGAACTGCAGCCCATCCAAGGGGAGCTACCAGAGGAACCAGCAACCAGAGCAATCCACCCCTGGAAACAACGGTACCACCTTGCAGAGCCAGGAGCCCAGAACGAGCAAGGCCTTTCTTTTGGCATTGGGATATAAATCCACCTTCTTCCGATAACTCGGAAAGTGCCCTTCACCTCCTTCCAAAGAGGCGATCACCAAAAAAGCCTACTGAACAGCAGGAAAGGGGCCTCAGAAACTGAGACAGCCAGAGACCTGCCGAGTGTTATGAGCCCAATAAACAGTAAATGCAATTTTTTCTTGTGATACACGACTTGGATTCAACACCGCTTCCAGTTTACGCTGCTTTAAGTCACCTACTTAAACTGGAGGAACTCCTAAATACTGAAATATTAAGTGCTACAAATCACTAATAAAGTTAAGGTAACTGTACAGCAGAAGAGGTGGATGAAGAAAACAGGACTATGAGGGAATATCCTACTTCTCTAGCAATCTGTGGCATTGCATACCCCAGTAAAGAAAATCAGGAGCGTCTTAGACATCTAGTGGCAAAAAATTAAAAAAAAAAAAAAATTGCAGATATCCAGGACAAAAGACCACAAAGCAGCGGATGCCAGCTGCCAGCTTTAAACGTTTCCAATCATCAAGCATTACACAGAGCTCCGTTCTCTGGTTCTAGGCTCTGCTGGGCGTGGGTAACGCAATCTCCCCACAATCTTACAACGCGGGGCGCTCTCGGCCCTTCTCACCCAGCGAGAACGGGAGGGCTCGCCAAGGCCAAAAGTCGTTTTTTACTCCCTACTGCAGAAGCTGGGTTTGGAAACGGAAGCATCAGCCAGACCCGCGCAGGGAAGCCGGCAGTAGTAAGAGGCTGGGACATGAAGCGAACTCTCTTCACCACAAGCAACCCGGTGGCTGTCCAAGCTGATGCTGCGCAGTTGTAACTGCACGAGGACGAAAGCAGAAGAGGCCCCCTCCAGCGCCGGTGCCTCTTCCCCAGCAGCCAAGGCACTGCTCGCTGGCCACAGCGGGACAAGGAACATCCCACCTACGCCGAACAATTTTGCGGTCTGCATTGTTTCCTCTTGCAGAATTGCTGAATCTTCTTAGAGAGCTCAGCTTAGACTTTATGCCCTCAAAGCGTGAACTGCTTTCTGCGTTCATTCCTTCATTTGTGTTGAGGAGGTCCCAATCCTCAGAACAGCAGGGCCTCAACAGCCTCTTGGTATTCCCAGAAACCCACCAAAAAGAATATGATGACCACATTCAACATCCAGGGAGCTACCGCATCCAAGCCACCTGCATCTGCAGAGCAGCACAGAGGAGGGAACCCCCCAAAGGAGGTGAAGCACAGCCAGATGTCCCTTCACCAGCAGGAGTTTGAGCTTTTTTCCCCTGCTTCTGCAGTACCTGTTGCACTGCTCAGAGATTTGAAGGACCAGTTTAGCCAGGTGTGCTTAGTTTAATGTGTACTTCTGTAGCAAGGCTGATGAACAGGTCAGGGTAACCCCCGGTATCCATACAGGCTGGGGAAGAGAGGATGGAGAGCAGCCCTGCCCAGAGGGACTGGGGGGCACTGGTGGGTGAAAAGCTGGCCATGAGCCGGCCATGGGCGCTGGCAGCCCAGAAGCCAACCCTACCCTGGGCTGCATCAGGAGAAGCGTGGCCAGCGTCGAGGGAGGGGATTGTGCCCCTCTGCTCTGCTCTGGGGAGACCTCCCCTGGAGCCCTGCGTCCAGCTCGGGAGCCCTCAGCACAAGGAGGACATGGAGCTGTTGGAGCGGGGCCAGAGGAGGGCTACTGAAATGATCCGAGGGGCTACTAAAATGATCCGAGGGCTGGAGCCCCTCTGCTCTGAGGCCAGGCTGGGAGAGTTGGGGGTGTTCAGCCTGGAGAAGAGAAGGCTGCGGGCAGAGCTGAGTGCGGCCGGTCAGGGCTTCAAGGGGGCCCAGAGGAAAGGGGGGGACAAGCTTTTTAGTAGGGCCAGCTGGGACAGGACAAGGGGGGATGGCTTTAAACTGAAGCAGGGGAGGTTTAGGCTGGATCTAAGGCAGAACTTCTTTCCAGTGAGGGTGGTGAAACCCTGGCAGGGGTTGCCCAGAGAGGGGGTGGAGGCCCCATCCCTGGGACCATTCCAGGCCAGGTTGGCCGGGGCTGTGAGCAACCTGATGTGGTTCAAGGTGTCCCTGCTCCTGCAGGGGGGTTGGGCTGGGTGACCTTTGGGGGTCCCTTCCCACCCAAAACATTCTATGATTCTATGATTCTAATGTCTCTCTCCTCCAAAGAAAACCCACTTTTTCCACAACTTTGACTCTGAGCCTTATGCCTTATTGATGCGGTATCATCTCATGAATGGCTTCAGTTATCCAGATACAAAACAGCCAAGAAGCGTTAACCTTTGATTAGGTCCTGACTCAGCGGAAGGTTTGCTGTACAGCTCTTACAGGTTCTAACAAGATCTGTTATTGACGGTTCTGATCAGAAGAGCACCACAGTGTATCCACGCGGCAGGTGATTTCTCCTGCCTTCTTTCCCTGCTAATCACTAACCTCCTGTAAACCTTCCTGGCACGAGTAACACAGACAGGAACGGTCGCTGCTTCGTCAGCAACAGATCCCGAATCCCTGCCACCATCAGATCATCCTACTTCTCTCGCTCTTTGACTGTAACAGCTGAACTATTTGACCTTCATCTCCGAGTGAGGAAGACTTGGGCTTCAGGTCTCCAGCAATCTCCGAGCAGTACTTCCCATGAAAGCCAGAGAAGTCAGGAGATACAGACCGACCAATAAACACGTCAGAAAGCAGTATGGGGAAACCTTTCTCTGAGGTTTGTAACCGTCTGCTACACAAACACACAACAACTCATTTATGATCACCTAACAGATACTACTGCCCTCCACCAAGCCTTCTCAGTATTTAAGCTAATTTATTCCGTGTCCGGAGAAGCATTACGGTGTCATACAACGAGACTGCCATGTGCTGGCAGTTTCAGGGATGTCGCAGTAAGTAACGAGGCCAAATGCAGTGTCAGAAGCAGCAGCCTAAGCTGGGGAGCTGAAGGGGTGAGGACATAACTCAGGAATTGATAAGTACCTTTAATAGGAACAAAATCCTTCAAATTGTTACATTTCAGCAAACTGCTTTTCCTTAGGTCGAGATGACGATACAGCCTATCCCGACATTAACAGCGGTCCAGGGTTTTCATTTGCTTAGGGACAGGGTTTAGTGGTGGGATGGCAGCGTTAGGGCAACAGTTGGGCTTGATGATCTCAAAGGTCTTTTCCAGCCTGAACGATTCTGTGATTCCATGATTTTGAAACAGCTTTCCATTCTGAAGGTAAGGGGGAAAAGTTTGTTAAATGAAGAATGCCCGTTCCCCTCCCCCGAGCTGTCATGATATAAAAGTTTGGGGCGGACTTCTTGAAGCGGTATCCCAGGTTGAATCAGAATGCACCTGCAGTGCTGAAAGCATCTTCAAGTTGTGCCGGAGCTCCCCAGCTGCCCTTCTGCAAGGCGTTCGCTTACCTGACTTTGAAACTACCACTACTTTGCATCCACTTACTCCAGAAATGGAGGCTGAGTTTCCCAGGTGCGCCGGGTGCACTCCTCTTGTCTCCCACCCTCGATACAGGGCTGGGAAGGAAAGGGAAGCGTTTATTAACTCAGTAGGCAAGAACCCAAGAGAACCCAAGCTCAGCTTCCAACAGCAGCTTCTGGCCAATGACGATCTCCCCTCCATCAGTGAAGAGGCTTTTATGAATTTCTTGAAGTACAGTAACGTCTTTGGTTGGGATACCTTCATTTCTTGGATCTTCTCAGCAAAAGCAAAGCAGTGCCTTTAGGAAGGCCTAAATTAGCGCCAAGATGCCTCATCAACGCGGGAAGTGACATGCTGTGTCGGTCTTCATCGAGAAGAGCCCCCTCCCAGACGTACAGAGCCTGCGCACCAGGGAGCACGGTGGACGAGCTTATTCTCCAGAACTGCCTCACCCTCCTGCTCTCATTTCTTCACAGATAACCTTAAGGCACACCTGAAATCTCATCTTTGATGGCTACCAGTGACCACATCCTATGGATATGCCTCATCTTTTTAAACCCCACTGGGGCTTGCAATCAGAAGTGTTCTCTGACCTTACACCATACCGAAGTTCCAAATTGTTTAGAGAGGTACTTTTTAAGCCAGCTAGTTTGAATTCACTGGGTATCGTTCCTCCTACCAGCCATGCTGAGCTATAAAATGCAGCTGCCTCACACTCACTTTCTCCATACCACCTCTCGCAGACACAGACCACGAACCGCTCGGGCGATGCCAGTCAGCTCTGAAAAACTGATCATCGTTACAAGCAGAAGGGAGAAGAGCAGACGTATGAAGACAATGCTGATCACAAGGCTGGAGCACAGTGAACGGTTGTGTCTGCAGCCACTATGTTGTGTGCACTAAAATCACTGCTTTAAGTTAAAATGGTTTGAGTACGTGAGGATCGTACCAGCCAAGGAGCCGGAGAAGTTAAGAACGGCAAGCTGCGTACAGCGGATGAGTTCAGAGGAAGCTGCTCTGTACGGGGATCTTTAGGCAACACGCAATTGGAAAGCTGTAATACAGTTTTTTTCTATACCTAAGGAGTTAGAGTTCCATCTCCGTTTTAATCTGATCTCTGCACTAAAATAGTAACTTTATAAAAATTATTTAAACACAAAAGGGTGCAAACAAAAAGGAGCAGTTGGTAAAGGTGGTAACTCTTTCTCAAAGATGGTGGATAAATTCCTTGGATTAACTCGATGGAGAGAAGAGAGACACAAGTGCTTTTGGGGACGTAACTAACTAGTTATCATTCAAAAGGAATTTGAATTTTCTACTTTTACTGCCAATATCCCTTTCAAACTACCGAGCTGCCTGTCTTTCACCTGACCTCGCGCTACAGAAATCTCGTTCCTGCTATGGTTCACTTGCTCTCCCCATATTTAAGTTTCCAGTTTTGTACAACTGGGGAAGCCCTGAGCTAAGGACGTTGCAGAGATTAACAGCCGTGAACAGCTTAAAATAAGCTTTCCATAGCTGGGTATTTCTTCCCCAAGCTGTTGTCCCCCACCTCCGGCAAAGCTGGCTGGAGATACCCGCAGGCTGCTCACAGCCATGTCGATATTCCCAACAACCCCTGCTACGCAGCTGCTCAAGTTTCACTTTCCCTCCTGAAACAACAAGTAAAAAAAGAGCTAAATCAGAATACGAGAACACGAGGACAAACATGGTAGGGTCAAGGTGCACATTCTTGTCGCTCAAGATAACTCCTGCTATTTTTCTTTTAAAGCTGTCTCTAGCTCATGTATTTGGGGAAAAAAAAATCGGAGCGTACTCATTAGAACTGGTACAGTGACGCTTGTCCGGCCGGCGAATTCCCTTCAGCAGGGGAAGAAACAAGAGGCGCTGCTTCCACCCAGCAAACGCAGAGGCTAAAGGTGCCCCAGTCCCAGCAGGAGCCCCGAGCGCTCCCCGGGCTGGGGAGCCCAGCTGGGCTCCATACGGCCCGCTCCATCCCCGGGGACTCGACATGGTTATGGACGCACAGCTCAGAGGAACGAGGACGGAGCCGATGGAAGGCCAGCGAGCAATCCTGCCGCCCAGTCCGCTCGGACATGCCGTGCACACCCGTTTGTAAGGGACTCCAGGCCTTCGCTTCCCCAAGTGCTTTCACCGGCTGTGCAGGAATTACCAGCACCGACCTTTAACACTTCCCAGTCGTCTCCAAATTCCATCAGAGAATCGCTGTTGTTCACACTTTGCTTTTGAGTCAGGTTTTTTACAGATGTAAAATAAAGATCCAAGTTGCTCATTTGCAGGCATTACTTCAATCCCAGCGGCACAGCTGACACCCGCTCATAGAGAATTTTACCTGGGCCACCCGTTCACCAAACAGCTTCCTCAAGATCCTCGTCTGATTTACACCCAAACCGATCTAGGTCTGTTTTAAATCTTCATGCATAAGCAGCGCTTTCCCTGTCCTCTGCATCTCTAACACCGATAGCACAGAGTACTACAGAACTTTTATTGAAAGGCAGCGACAGAGCAAGAGCGGGGGGTCCGACAGCCCGGCCTGGGCAGGAGCAAGCTACAGACCGTGGAACAAACAGCGGGGAGAAACCGTCCCCCGACTCACTGTGCACCCTGCCGTCCTGCGACAACCACCTTCCCAGTCAAAACCAAATTCCTAGCTTAGTCTCCTGATTTGTCAGCTTTCTTCCGTTCTTGCTTGGAGCTGCAGAAATACGACGTTTTGAAAGCAAGGTGTGCTCCATCGCCTTGAAGGAATAAGCCATTTCACTGAGGGCTGCCACCAGCAGGCAGCTCTGACAAATCATGCCCATAAAAATATAAAAGAACACATTTCACATTACAATTCATGGCAAGAAACGTGTCGGGTTCAAAACATTTTGTATAGAAGATAGATTTGATTCCTTTATGGTAACGAACAGCTTTTAAGGCAGGCAGGTGCTTTCCAGACACGCATGGAGGAGGACCATCCTCGCTCCACGTAGCACCAAAAAAACCCCCCAAAACCCCAAACCCCTGGGCAGATGGAGAACAAGAGGAAAAACCGAAGAGAACGGAGGTGGCAAAAGGTGTTCCTTGTTTAATACCTTGAAACGGTAAGTGTATTAATTATTGCAACTTTTTGTAAACTCATCGTTAAACCCGGTGGGCCAGGGAAGGGCAGCGTGGCCCACAGCGTCGCTCCCTGCAGTGCCCTCCCACCAGTAACGCCGCCCTTCGTCCTCCTCAGGCTCTGTGGGCAAGAAACAGAACATACCCAACTCTGAGGGCCGTGGCTTGTCCACCCTGTAATTCTGTAGAGGAACAGGAAAACAAAGTATTTCCTACATTTTCCTAAACAAGTTACCTTTCTCCTGATGTCTGCCTCATCTCAGGTCTTAGTCACACAATCCCAGCCTGGCCGGGGCTGGCAGGGCCCCCCAGAGCTCCCCCAGTGCCACCCCCCTGCCCAAGCAGGCTCACCCAGAGCAGGGGGCACAGGACAGCGTCCAGGCGGGGGTTGAAGATCTCCAGAGAAGGAGACTCCACAGCCCCCCTGGGCAGCCTGGGCCAGGGCTCGGGCACCCTCACAGTCAACAAGTTCTTCCTCCCGTTCACCTGGAACCTCTTCTGCTTCAGGTTGTGCCCATGGCCCCTTGTCCTGGCGCTGGGCACCACTGGGAAGAGTCTGGCTCTGTCCTCGTGACCCCCACCCTTGAGATAGTTGTAGGTGTTGATGATAGTACTTTACTTTAGGTTGTCTATGTCAACAGTAAAGCAGAAATATCTTCTGCTTTTTCAGGCGGACATCTCCAAGCCCTTGGAAGTTGCTCATGCTATTTCTGAACTGGAGTATGTAATTAAAGGAAAAAACACCATGATTTAAGGAAACACATCTTCTCTAACAGTATGCTGCCATGTTTGCGGATGAACTGCTTTAAGGAGAGCATTTCTAAGTTTGATACGTGCAGGATTAAACTGTCGTTCCAACACCCGCTATTGGCCAACACCACACTGCAGGAATTCTTTACTACTCAGCAGCTTTGCAGAGGCTTCAGTCAAGAAGCAGAACACACAAAGCCGTTCCTGGCTGCACGCAGATTCTGGGGTAGAGGTTTAAAACCATAAAATTTCTTAAAAATAAAGTATTTCCTCTCACTATGTCCATTTCAAAGTAATCCTTCTTTTTGCCTTACCCCTCACCCACGCAGAGTATCAGCAGCCTCCCTTCCCCTGTGCCCCCTGTAACAAGCATCTCCCCCTCCTGTCTCACCTCACCCCAGCCTTCCCCTCACCAGTGACTCCCACTTTGTGGCCTGGATTTTGGTTTAGCCAACAACTGGGGGGGGATCTTTTTGAAGTCTTCACCCAAGCACCGTTAAGCGTGGTAGAAAGGCCCCCACCTTTCCTAGAAAATGTCAGGAGAAGCCTGCAAAAATAACAGGTGACTAAAGGCAGCGACGGAACGACCGGTGGTTCCGCGTGCCACAGACTGGCAGCGTCTTGCACCGCACCGCGAATACCCCCACCCCCCACTCCCCCCCTAACTCCGGTGATTTTTGTCTTGCTCTCTATTATCCGAATTCCGCGGTTGCGTTACTTTGCCCAGGATTATCACTGCAGTCAGTTCCGTAGCTACCAAAGGCCACCCCGAGCCTTGGTGGTACGGGCACGCGTACGAAACCCCCGCGGCGTTCTCCAGCCCCTTAGAATGCTCTCGGTACTCCAGGCGAGCAGACACGAACACGGAGGGCCAGCAATCCCCACAGGCGACTCCTTCTACAAACTGGGAGGAAATTACCAAGATTTACTGATTTTTTACTCAAGCCTATTTAAACCCATTCCTGATAAAATAAAACATTTAAGATTTTCCACTCAGTTACTAAGTGGAACCACACGGAAATGCTGAGAGAAGTGCGTTATCCTACTTGTTTCCAAAAAGAAAGTATTTCTGAATACTCCTGACTTCCCTGTAACACCCTTTCTGTTACAAAACCACAAAGCACAAACCTAACTTCAGCAGCTACGTCACAGCTTAAGATTCAGTCTGATTCACAGTTGATTCAGTCTGGCTCGACAGGCACGGATTCCTGATGTGAATGTTAAGGTTATTTTAGGATTTTTTTTGCTAAGTTTTAATACAAAAATCTCCTTTATCTCCTCTATAAGCATAAATAATTTTAAGCTTTGCTACCCAGAGCAAAAGGAAAAAAAAAAAATCTTGATAATTCTCTCAACTTGCAGCATCTGAGAAAGTTTTGGAACACACCTGCGAGTGTGACAGAGCACCGGGGCGAGATGGACAGAGCACCCACCCGGGAGCTCTACGCCTTTGAAATGCAGCTACTGAGCAACTCATTGCAGGGAATAAAGTATCGCTGTGTTTAACCTGGTGAACTTGAAGCCTAAAACTAGCTTTTTAAGCAAACTGTTACACAATTTAAAAACCCACAGCGAAAACATCCAGACGGACAAGGCCACTCCGGTCGATAGTTCGGCTGAACGCCCACAGAAGAGTTCTGCACGGGCTTCTCCAAACAGCTTTAGAGAAAAGCTCACTTTCTTTTCTGAATCAGTAGCTGGTTAAAACGTAAGAAATAAATCGAAAGCAAATGAAATAAAAAAGGAAAAGGCAGCAAGTAGGGTCCCAAAAGAAAGAGTGCTGCTCAGTGTATTCATACGTGACCTCAGAGGAAAGATGAACAGCAAGGTAGCAACATTCACCAGCAGTGGGAAGAACTTCATTTAACCCCACCAAAGCCATCACAAACAGCTGCAGAGTGAGTTCACCTTAATGAGCAGCCAGACACGAAACTGCAGATTTAATTCGGTGCTGACAAAAGCAAAACACCAACCATGGGAGAACCCCCCCCACCAAACAACGACCGCACCGTTAGTTAACATCACTGATCGGGGACCCACGGCCACCCAGCACAGACAGAGCCACCCAGATCTTTATTACGGGCACGCTAGGACAATAAATGCCTGCAGGGTTGAATAAACATCACCGATTTGAGCAGCAACTGCATCACTTCAGGTGGATTTGTCTTTTTGGAAAGAGGACAAGCAGGGGATAAGCAATTTGCCCCTGCCCACTATGTCCTGACTGGCAAATCCTTTCCTCTGAGCTTGGCTCAGTCTAACCCGGGAGCTTTCCGGACCAGGCAATGTCTGCAGCATCCTCTGGATCCTCAGATCCTCCCATTCTCCACCAGTTCTGAAGCCAGCTGTCCATCTGCCCCTGGCTCATCTGAGACGCATCCCACGCTGTTCCACGCCGCAAGCATCCTTCCTGCCGCACTTACGCACGCTCACACTCTTCTGCCTGCCCCATCCCACGTTCTGGGAACGTCGTCCCCCAAGTACGCTCAGGAGGTCCCAGGAAGGAGCCATCTCCCCTCCTTCCGGAGGGCTTCGCCTGACCCGAGTGCCACAGCCAGGACGAAGCAAACGAGCAGCCCTCCCGTGACGCATGGCCATCCTTTTGAAGAAACGTGGCATTTTAACATACAAATAGAACGGATCCTGGTTATTACAGCCATTTGGAAATTATCTCGGAGCCACTGTTCAAGGATCTCAATAGGGAGCAGCAGCCAAAGAGGTAAAGGAAATGTCAAAAGTTATTACAAGAAAGAATAAGCAAGTAAACAGAAGGCAGGACATTGTTTCACTACCGTGTGTTTGCACCACGAGTGCTGGGCTGGTCAAGCTTCTCGCAGCAGAGGCAGTAGGGCTCGAATAAGGACAGCTGCTCTGAGGAGCTTCTAACGGAGACCGAGCGGAACACAAAACAGCACAGCTTCTAATGGAAGATGCATTAAACTTGACTCAATACACAACTACAGCTCAGAAAACCAACTGATACAGAGGCAGACATGAGAGGTATTGAGGGGGTGAACAGTCACTTACAGCTTCCTATAAGCCCAAGAATGGGGGCACCTCACACAGTTACCAAGTGGCCAACTCAAAGACCGGCAGAATGGAACACTACTGATGTTCTGCATGGGAAGAAGAAACCCTGTAGAGCTTACTGCTGTAGAAAGTTATGGAGACCAAAAATTCAGCTGGTTACACCACTTCATAAAGAACAGGTTTGTGAAGGACCCTCAAATGTTTTGCAGCCACTGCTGGTTCAGAAAAGTCACCAACCTGGGTCACTGTCAAAGTGGGAGTGCCTGCCCTACGTTTGTACTGTTCTAACCTTCTCCCAAGTACATCGCTAGCAGGAGCAGGTACCAGAGGGTCCTGAGCCAGCCGGACCTCAAGGAATGACTGTAATTTGCCAGACTGAGCTCCGCTGTTATTTCCAGCTACTGTTTTTTTATTTCTATATATCTCATTGGCATAGATGACTGCGAATAGCTGGGCACCACCCACATGCTCTGGTTCCTAGATGGCTTCCAGAACGATTTTCATAGAGTTACAGAGTGGTTTGGGTGGGAAGGGACCTTTGGATGTCCTCCGGTCCTACCTGCTGCCAGGGGCAGGGACATTTTCCACCAGGCCAGGTTGCTCACAGCCCCATCCAACCTGACCCTGAATGTTTCCAGGGATGGGGCATCGACCACCGCGCTGGGCAGCCTGGGCCAGTGTCTCACCACCCTCACGCTAAAGAACTTCTGCCTCATCCAGTCTGAATCTACCCTCTTTTAGCTTAAAACCATCACCCCTGGTGTAAAGAACTTCTGCCTCATATCCAGTCTGAATCTACCCTCATTTTCACCAGTTTCAAGCCATCAGGTCTGACATGCAACATAAAGATACCCAGCTCTACCAGCAGTAGCGTCTTTATTTACAGGTCACCCAAAACCTGCACTTCTCTGCAACAAGACTTAGGGTCTCCTCCTTCCTTTAGGAGTTTTAAGAATGCCTTGAACTCATAACCTATTCCCCCTGGGAGACCTTGCTTTCTGTAAAATCTCTTGTATTTGTAGCATTTAGAAAGCTTTTCCTAACTGAATCACCGCTAGGAAAATAACCGAGTCAGCGAGCTCCACTGCCGGCACGGGGAAGGATCGCAGTGCTCTCGCCCGCAGCCTGTCCATCTCCAAACAACTCCAAGGCGTAATTACGTGCTGCATGAAAGGGCAGTTCCCCTTGTTTGCTTTAAACTGTCTGCTCGATAACTTTGTTGGATGCTTCCAATTTCTCACATTAGGAAAAGCAGACAGCAATCACAGCCTATTCACTTTCCCTGCACGTCATTTCCATATTGCTACTCCTTGGAACAGCCACAAGCAGTTCCCAGAAGTACAGCCAGCCACCGGAAAGAAAAGAAGTTCCATCTTCTTACGATTCTGTGTGATTCTGTGATTCTTCCCATCAATTATGGACATTACACTAGAGCTCAGGCTTTGAGAAGCACTTACCAGTTAAACCTAGTTTTAGGGAGTATCCTGACCAACTGGGACTAGACTGCAGACTTGACAGCAGCAGAGGAACCGAGCTGCTCAGCTGTATGGAACCAGCTCTGAACTCATCAGCAGGACCACCCCAGTGACACTACAGTTCCCTCTCAAATGACTCCAGGGATTAAATATCAAGAACAACCTCAGTGGCAGCCACCAGAACACACAACACAGCGTTACAAAGCACATTGTCGTGACTGAGCTTGAAAAGGAAAGGTAGATATGCATACCTTCAGTAGAAGTTACTTCAAACGTGAAATCTTCTCCACGGACAGAGAAACATTTGGGTTACAGTTCCTGGAATATACCCAGCTTCAGAAAATTATTTTCATCCAGTGTGAATTCTTTCTCAAGCTTCCTATCCTGGAAAATATTTTGAAAAGTTACTATTAACCAAAGGTAACCGAGGGCCAAAGATTTTTTTTTTTTCCCCTAAATAAACTTCCACATAACCTTTCAGCCCAAAGAAAAATTCCAGCAAGTTGGTAGGTGCAAACACCCTTTGCAAAACCCTCGCCGCTGCGTGAGGCATACCCGTCTCAGCCCCCCACCCTTCTACGGCACCGGGCGAGTGTGAGCCATCAGACCTGTGACAACGGAGGGGTTAACAGCCCCGTCCCCTTCCCAGCCCTCGGACTCAGCTGCGAGACTTGTACCTCATTCAAGAACACGTTTGTTTTCTTGACATCACTTCAAAAGCAAGTTCTAGGTTGTCAAGGAAACCTAACGGTCATTTTCACTTGTTCCAACAATAATTGCAGCAACAACACATGCATTTCACAGCCGGTCTGGGGCCCCCACCACCTTCAGCAGGCAGCGAGGCACTCGCTTCCAGTGGAGTTCACAGTGGTTTCAGGAGGTGACCACAGAAGGGAAGGCGGCGAGAGGGCTAAGCTTGGCTTAGCCTGCCGCGCTCCCCCCAACCGGCCGAGCTGGGGTTTAACCAAGCCGCTCCCCAACTCCAGGTATTCCTTTCATACTGTGCCAGCAATCCCTCCCCACGCCGAATGCTAACGTCCCCACGCCAGCCCAATAACGAGAGTGCACTCCCATTAGCAGGGCAAATGCTCTGCACCTGAATAGCCCTGCAAACCTCAGCCTCGAACCCAGGGAGGGCCCGACGGCAGGAAGAGCAATGCATTCCCTCATCTTCTTACCCATCGTTACCTAATTGGAGGGACAAGTCACCCAACACAGAGACATCAATTCGAATGGACAGTGTACACGATTTTACCGCGCGTATTTAAGGTCTGTAAGTTTGATGCCTTCTTTTTTCCCAGCATTTGTGCTACAAAGTCTTTTAAACATTATAAATGATAAACTGAACATAAAACAGCGCGGCACAGATCCAGAATCACAACCTGAGGCCCAACAGCCAGAAGCGCTGCTCCAAAACCAGGCTGAATTGTTTTCCGGAGAAATGACCGTGCACACCTCAGATGCCGTCAGAACACATCGAGAACACTTCCAGCCTGGGGAAAAAGCTACGCTCTTTGATTCTGCATATCCCGGTAGAAGTCAAACTCTTATTTTGGAGATTCATTTGTAGCTGTGGATATTTGCTGTATTTCTGCTTAAAAGCAAAGGGTGGGAAGAAAAACTCTAAATAATGACTAAGTTTGGCGGAACATAATCATTACTTAGAATCTACTTTATTATGGCAATTCAAAACATCTGCGCTGTTCTGCCACTTCTGTTTGTTGTGCCTGTGGTCAAGATAAGCCACGCTTTGCCCCTGGCTCCGCAAGATACGCAGCTCTGCTTTAGCTCACTAATTCTGTTAGGCTCGTGCTTAAACCCCGGCACAACGAGCAGCCCCGTGCGACTGACCGAGCCCAAAAACCAGGCACGTGTTTGCACGTGTACGTCATCCTCGTGCAGGGGTGGGCAGAACAGCAAACGCACCCACGTACGGAGCGTCCGGGCTCCCGCAACGCTTCCTTTAACGCCGAGTCCACGCAGCGAGCCCCACGAAGAACGGGAACCAGGGCCCATCTTCCCCTTGCTGGAAGCCCGTTCACAGCCGGACACGAGCAAGCGGCACCTGGCTGAAACGGCCTTCCCGGATCACGGAACGATGGAAACAAGCCTACGTGACAGCGCCTTTTAACTTGAAAGAGAGTAAGATTTCATCCCTAACATTTCGAGTGACCGCCATGAGCCCCAGCTAAATCCGTCATCTTTAGCCTTTATCCATCTCAATTTTTCTTCCATTTCTTCAATTATTTTTGAATTGCAATAGTTACTGAGTGGATTTCCAAATAAGAGCGGTAGGACAACCGGACCTGCGGTATTTCAGCGCAGCTGAAACACAGATTTGGGTGATGCGGGTAATTACTCTCTTCCATTCTGAACACACAATGCTGAGATTTCAGCCACCTTCTCTTCCGAGACAGGGACTTTATTTTATCTGACAACCAATTTGAAACACAGCCCAATGAAGGAGTTAAAGCAAATAAAGTGTTCCTACTTTCTACCTCTTCCCCTAGCAATTTCCATCGTTTTGGTAAACTCACTGCATGATACCCAGACACATTCCAAAATTCAGCACAGCACATCCATGTGGAAGTTCAGTTTTGAACTCAAACTCCGCACAGGGTTCCTATGTTGTCACAACCCAAGGGTCTCATTTCTAACAGGAGAGAGCATCCACCTCAAAATAACAACTGGTATCTCCAGTGATTTCCCAAATTAGGGTGGGGAGAATAAACCCAGCAGATCGAAGGTACTCCCCGTACTCACAGGTTTTAGAGGAAATGTAAGCTGACCTAGGCTATGAATTTTAAAACACGCTCCAGAGCATGCCGTGATTCCCTATAGAACAGACAGTGGTAGCAAGGGGAACGGACAGCTATCAGCAAATTCTTTTTAAAAGCACCTGTACGGAGCCAGAAGCATTCCCAGGTTCCACAATGAAGTAATTAAGCACACATGGCTTCAGAAGAGCAGAAGCCCTGCAAGCCTTACTGGTGTCACGGGAGCTCTCACCTTTGGGAAAACCACTGCACAGAACCACCTGAACAGGGGTTAGTGCCACTGCCACCCAACAGTACGCCACAGCTTCTCAGTTGGGCGAGATACACAGCCGGACACGAGCAAGCGGCACCTGGCTGAAACGGCCTTCCCGGATCACGGAACGATGGAAACAAGCCTACGTGACAGCGCCTTTTAACTTGAAAGAGAGTAAGATTTCATCCCTAACATTTCGAGTGACCGCCATGAGCCCCAGCTAAATCCGTCATCTTTAGCCTTTATCCATCTCAATTTTTCTTCCATTTCTTCAATTATTTTTGAATTGCAATAGTTACTGAGTGGATTTCCAAATAAGAGCGGTAGGACAACCGGACCTGCGGTATTTCAGCGCAGCTGAAACACAGATTTGGGTGATGCGGGTAATTACTCTCTTCCATTCTGAACACACAATGCTGAGATTTCAGCCACCTTCTCTTCCGAGACAGGGACTTTATTTTATCTGACAACCAATTTGAAACACAGCCCAATGAAGGAGTTAAAGCAAATAAAGTGTTCCTACTTTCTACCTCTTCCCCTAGCAATTTCCGTCGTTTTGGTAAAGTCACTGCATGATACCCAGACACATTCCAAAATTCAGCACAGCACATCCATGTGGAAGTTCAGTTTTGAACTCAAACTCCGCACAGGGTTCCTATGTTGTCACAACCCAAGGGTCTCATTTCTAACAGGAGAGAGCATCCACCTCAAAATAACAACTGGTATCTCCAGTGATTTCCCAAATTAGGGTGGGGAGAATAAACCCAGCAGATCGAAGGTACTCCCCGTACTCACAGGTTTTAGAGGAAATGTAAGCTGACCTTGGCTATGAATTTTAAAACACGCTCCAGAGCATGCCGTGATTCCCTATAGAACAGACAGTGGTAGCAAGGGGAACGGACAGCTATCAGCAAATTCTTTTTAAAAGCACCTGTACGGAGCCAGAAGCATTCCCAGGTTCCACAATGAAGTAATTAAGCACACATGGCTTCAGAAGAGCAGAAGCCCTGCAAGCCTTACTGGTGTCACGGGAGCTCTCACCTTTGGGAAAACCACTGCACAGAACCACCTGAACAGGGGTTAGTGCCACTGCCACCCAACAGTACGCCACAGCTTCTCAGTTGGGCGAGATATAAATTTGAATTCAGTTAAATTTGAGATGACTACCTTCCTTATGCCAACAGCACATTTCTGATTCTTTGGAAATCAGATGTTTGTAGATGCTACCGTGCTAGACCCACTCCTATTCTTCAGGCCTCCAGCATATTTTTCTACAAAAATGATCCGAGGGCTGGAGCACCTCTCCTATGAGGACAGGCTGAGGGAGTTGGGCTTGTTCAGCCTGGAGAAGAGAAGGCTGCGGGGAGACCTGATTGCGGCCTTTCAGTACCTAAAGGGGGCCTATAGGAAAGATGGGGAAAATCTTTTTAGTAGGGCCAGCTGTGACAAGACAAGGGGTAATGGTTTTAAACTAAACCAGGGTAGGTTTAGACTAGATATAAGGAAGAAATTCTTTACAATGAGGGTGGTGAAACACTGGAACAGGCTGCCCAGAGAGGTGGTGGAGGCCCCATTGCTGGAAGCATTCCAGGCCAGGTTGGACGGGGCTCTGAGCAGCCTGATCTAGTTAGTGGTGTCCCTGCTCCTGCAGGGGGGTTGGACTAGATGACCTCTAGGGGTCCCTTCCAACCCAAAACATTCTATGATTCTATGTATCCCAGATGAAGTTCGCAGTGGATATGCTCACCGGTACGGCGCCGTGCCTAAACACAACCAACAGCGCACTGACTATTTTGAATGGCAATCAGCACAATTCACTGCCATGCCATAAAAGCCAAGAGTTCGGTAACATTCTACAGAGCTCTGGTTTAAATGGCCAAGGACGCTTTGGACAGCTCGGCGACGCAGATGGAAACGCTTTGATAGAACAAACATAAACCCTCACGGCGTACAGAACAAGGCAGCTGCAGAGCCGCTGTCGGTAAGGAGCTGGCTGGGGGGACAGGGGTTCCTGGTGGGGCTTGGGGCTGGGAGAAGTCGTCTTGTTCTTCTCAGTCAGCTTTGCATTCCACAAAGAGAAGTTTTTCATGCGTGCTACACATCACTACCCGAGACAGGACACAAACAGACCCAGCCTGATCAACCCTGGTAATGCCCAGGCTCCTCTGCATCCTCACCGCAGGCATGGCCACAGCACCACACCGCAGAGCCTCCATGGGCCGAGCACCGCTGGCGGCCACTTGCCCGCACGCTACCACCTCCCCAACGAACTCAGCGTTTCGTGCCACCGCGGGGTGTCGTTACTTTGTCATCATCACCCATCTCATAATCGTGTATCCCTGAAAAGATGGAAT